ACCGAATAATGAGATTTGACCATCACTTTTATAACGCAGCCACGACCTCAAAGAGCGGAGCGTGATTTTTTAAAACTTTTTCTTGCGGTAACGGGACACGAACACTCGACCCGTAGCTACACAGTCCGGCGTACTAAATTCTGGGCCACGCTGAAATAAACAAACCCTGTACTAATATATTTTTGTTTTAATGTTTTTATTATTGATTAAGGATAACATTTAAAAATATACCCAAGGAATAATCTATCATCATATCTGTACAAAGGTAAAAATAAATTAAAGTGACCCTCGAAACAATCACTGGTGTCATTCCGTTACTAGCTTAACGGAAATTAAATTTAGGTATTTAACCAAAGAAAATTATAAGGTTAGTGGATAAGAACATACGGGGGTTTAGACCCCTGGTGGCTGAGAAGCACGTCTACAGACTTATACCGATATGAAATCGGGTTTCGATGCTCGCGGCGGGTACAGCACAAATAGCCCATTGTATAGTTTTTCGCTTAATAACAAACAAATTTGTTCATTGATGGATCAGTGGTAAGTTACGGACTTACAAGACTAAAATCCGGGATTCGATTCCCCGCGAAAGGACAGAGCTCAGATATCCCATTGTGTAGCCAAGAAAACAACAATAAATGGGTTAACATTCCCTAAGTTCTCCCCAATTTATTATTATAGGTTAATTATTCTGTGTAACTTATCCATCCGTTCTTAAATAGTAGAATTATCTAGATAAGAAAATGGGTTAAGTCTTTCGTTGCATTTCAAATAAAACTCTTAATTAACTTGCACGTTAAAACCAACAACATGTAATTTTTGTTAAACTATCGCTTCCAGCTTCTTGTCTTTGAAGCTCGTCGGTTAATTAACAAACTTTGGATGTTTGTAATGAAACGAAAGCAGAGAAAAGAAAAAAAGTCAGTACGGTTGAACTAAAATCTTTGGTTGTTTTTTTCGGTAATTTTCTAGAGGATATATGCCATATGAATTCAACGAAATTCGCTTGTTAAAACAATTTTTAAAATATAATCATAGTAAAATAATTATTGTTACAAACAGTCATAAACATCTAACTATGATGAAGGTAATTTAGGAAAAGTGAAAATATTTTGACAGAAGCAGTAATATCTTTGTTTAATGATAGGGAAGTTGATGTTGTAAAATCCTATATTTTCCACGGAAAACATATTTTACTACAAAAATCTGTTAATAAAAATACTCCATAGAGGGCGCCCCTCTGCTGCATATCTCTGCATTACGATTGTCGAATGTGCAGTTGTCAGCTAATCTCGATTGAAAGGTGTGGGAGGTGGATTATTTAAGAAAAATATTGCAAGAAATTATTAATTATTTTTTTTAAAAAAACTCACAGTGACCACATGTATCAGTAATCTTGACAACCATATTTGGCTGCTTGTTTGTAACTAAGCACAAAGCTACACAATGGACTATTTGTGCTCTGTCCACCACGGGTATCGAAACCCGTATTCTAGCGTTGTAAGTCCGCAGACATACAGCTGTGCCACTGGGGTGGGGGTTATTTGGCTGCATCTTTATCTACTGGAAAAATGTAATCATATAATGGAATATGTATAAAATAAAGAGAGACCTCAACTGCCAAAGGGGATCTGTCCCCCAAGGATCGGTGCCTACGTCATAAAATGGTGTTGATAACTTTGTATCATAAATACCCGTATCATTCATTTATTAGTCATGTTTTGAATCTGCTGAGATACGGAGTCTTTTCATTAGTTACTAACTTAGTTTCCTTTGATTGTATAATAAGTCGCATAACGACAAAGACAATTTTTCAAGTTCTCACATAGATGTCGGTTATAGGTACAAGTTTCAGGGATTCCAAAAGACATAATTATTCGTGAATCGAACGCTTTATGCAACTAAATGTGGAACAGATCATGGTTTATAATAATAAATGACATAAATAATGAAACTTCGAACAAAGAGAAACAATTTTTAAGTCCGTAAATCTATAGATTTATTGTTCATTTTAAAACTTTAGTGAAGAAAAAAAAAGAAACGCTTGTGCAGCAAATGGATCATCAGATAAACTGGAGTAGTTTATCAATTAAAGATGGAAACTTATTTTTAAAAGCTATTAGTGGCAATCACTTTATCTATGTCTTTTGACACACATTATGTCTATAGAATACGCTTAGTAGCCATTATCTGTCTTGGTATCTATTATATCTATAAAAAAAAAAAAAAGCTTGTCCTACAGCTTGAGACGAAAGACTTTACAAAAACTAAGGAAAAACCTACTGGTTGTTGATTGTTAGTTAAGCACAAAGCTACACAATGGGCTATCTTTGCTCTGCCCACCACGGGTATTGAAACCCGGTTTCTAGCGTTGTAAGTCAACAGACGAATCGCCGTGCCACTGGTTCAAAAGAGTTTATGTAATTGGTTTGTGAGGAGGAGAAGAAAGAAGGCGCGTCATGTCATGTGACGAATCAAAGTTAACTTTTTTATACATGATTCGACTGCTATACCTCCATAGTTTTTACGTTAGTTTCTATATACAACACTAAAGTTTAAAATATTATACCTCCATAGTTTTTACGTTAGTTTCTATATGCAACACTAAAGTTTAAAATATTATACCACCATAGTTTTTACGTTATTTTTTATATACAACACTAAAGTTTAAAATATTATACCTCCATAGTTTTTACGTTATTTTCTATATACAACACTAAAGTTTAAAATATTATAGGATTAGTCCCAGTTTAATGCTTTATATCTGTATTTTAATTCATTTTTTTTTAGAATGATAAAATACATTGTTAAGTAGATAAAAAGCATTATCTTTACGAGGTTGCGAACATTCAGGGGCTACGGTACTTATTGAAATACAAACACGTCATTCCTTATTAAAGAATTAGCTTGTTTTGAAGTTGGTGCAGCTTAATTGTCAGTTTTCTATCCAAGCAGTAATTCTGCATGGCAAAGTTCCAGTAGTTTCGAGTGGCAAGTGTCCGTTCTTTATTTTTTGCCTGCCCTGATGTAAAATAAAGGGATTCACAGAGAAAAATCCACTTTCCCGCTCCGTCTGTCTAGAGATCGATTTGTCTGTGACAAAAAAAAACAACTTTTGAGAGAAGAAACGTCAGGAAAGGTAGCAGATTTCCAATAGCAGTGTTTAAAAGCTTTTATGATTGTATCCGTCATATTGATTTCCATTGGAACAGCGCAGTTCGGAGGATAATGGATAGAGGTTAATTTTTCGGGTGAATCGCTCAGTGCATTTCTTTTTTGTTTCTTTATTGATGAAAAGTTAATACACCTAAACTGTAAGGATGTTTCTATTCCGAATTAGAGAAATATATTCGGAATGCATTCTGTTAAATAATATACAGATGACGTTTTTTCACGAAATCATTCACAAACATTGCAATTCTCAACCATACGTTTGGTTAATTACTTGGGGGACAGGCGTGACCTAGTAGGCAGCGTGTCCGGCAGTGGATTAAAGTGATTCCACTGAACACACTCCACACTTCCAGCTGTAGGCACGTTATAAAAGTGACAATCAGTGACAAAGACCTCACGGCAGCGGGTGCCGCTAACTGGCTGCCTTCCTTCGAAATGAGACACCACTGTTTGTTTGTTTGTTTT